TTTTTTCAGAGAGCAGAATACCAGGATCAATTGGCACGAAAAAGGCAGGAAGAGGAAATGGCAGTGAAAGCGCGTATGCACGAAGAAACTTTGCGGAAGCAAGAGGAAAGTGTGAAAAAGCAAGAAGCAATGAGAAGAGGTAAATTTTTTATTATTTTTTTGATTTACACGGAAAAATTAAATATTTTTTTTTTTTTTTTTTATTGTATAACTGAGTCTGTGGATAATTGCCAGTACTTTTGAGCCGTTTGTAAGGTCGCAGTGGTTTTCCCAGTCATTTTTTTTTACCGTTTGCGCAGATTCGAATAGAATGGTACCATTATTATGTATAGCGATCTGTAGTAGAACAACTTTAAATGTATCACAGACGAGATGTATAAGTATGCATGGATGAAAATTTGTAAAATAATATGGCTGTTACTATCTCGCGTGATATTTTCCGATGTACAAAAAAAGCCATTATTACAGCAACAGTTGAGCATGAATTGGCCCTAAAACACAAATATGATTTGGAAAAGGTGGAAGCAGAAACGCATGCTCGAGCGAAAGCGGCTCGTGAGAATCGTGATGTTAATTTGGAACAGTTACGTGCAGCTGAGGAAGAGCGACGAAAAACAACGATCGAGAAAATCAAGTCCGTTTATTTAATTTTTTTTTTTTTTTTTGAATCTAATAAATATGGCAATAACAATGCATTAGGACGAATGAAATGATAATAATGGAGGTGCAAAAACCGGCAATGGTTGATGTAACTTTAAAAAGATTGCCATTATTTAGGCATCATAAGATGCCTGCTGTGATAATGTGACAATGGCTGTGAGCCGAAGATGTTGATAGTCTCGGTGGTAGTCGATAAAACCATCGTAGATATGTGGCGCATCGCAAAATCTGCAAAAGCTTCGTTGTAATATTTTGAGATCTGCATCGGGTTGGTATAGGCTTCGTGATTATAAAATACGGGTTTCGCAAAGATGGTTTATTTTAATTGCTTCTTTTGCAGGACCAGCGGAGCGGTTCTAGGCGCCGGTTTGGAAGAATTTTTGAATGATCCTACAAAAATCGCGAGGGCTGTGAGTTTTTTTTTTCACGCTTTTTACATCGTCAGCTGAAAAAAAACTTCAGCAGATTTTATGAGGATGGATTAATCTCCTGGTTACTCTTCGGCATACATTATTCTGCATAAAATTTTGAAGAATCGTCAGTTCTTCGGCTTTTCAAAATCAACAGTTTTGATTTTTGTTAAAAATCTCCTCTCTTTTTACTATCTTTCATAGATTTACTGGTCAAATTCGAGGTCAACCTGGATGCTGCTATCGGCTTACTGCTCCTACTGCTTTGTGATTTCCGTCCTTCCTCAGTGCCTCCCACTTTCTCAGTGAATTTTCTTTTGAAAACTAACAACTTTTACTGAATTTTTGCAGGTTGGCGGTATAACGGTACTTGCTGTTGGACTATATGGCGCTAAGCGAGGCACAGCTGTCGTGGCTCGCCAGGTTGAAGCTCGCTGGGGGAAACCAAGCTTAATTCGGGACACCTCACGCATCACAGTTTCAGAAGCATTCAGACATCCCATAAAGACATTCAGGACTATTTTTCGAGGCAGCGATGATCCTCTGAAAGGAATTGTTTTAAGTGTGAGTTAAATTTTGTTACTTTTGTCTGCATTTTTTTTTCTGAGTAAATACAGAAAAATGTTTTGTTCCAGCCGGAACTGGAAGCGCGTTTACGAGATATTGCTATAACGACAAGAAATACTAAGCGAAATAACGGCCTGTTCCGGAATGTGTTGTTCCATGGTCCACCCGGTACCGGCAAAACTCTCTTCGCTAAAGTATACTTTTACTGTTTGGTGTAGTTTGTACTCTGTTTTTGGTTAAATGCGGGCAAATGAAGGGAAAAATGTTAGGCACTCAAGATATTTCCGAATCTCAGTGACGGCGTACATCAGCGACATAATAAAAGCATTATGTTGGACTCAGTAGAAAGATGTTTCTAACGCAGTTTATGGGTTGTACTTGTTTTAAAAATTTGTATTTTATGAGGCATTCGACGCTGGGCTTAGGCCAGCCCGTGTTAAATACAACTCTCCTGCGCAGATTATCAAAAAGTTAAAAATCATCCATTCATAATTATCTGGAAAAGCTTCATCTGATTTTATTTCATGCTCGCAATTTATTTTAGAGTCTTGCGCGTCACTCGAGTTTGGATTATGCGATCATGACCGGCGGCGACGTAGCACCATTGGGCCGTGACGGCGTATCAGCGATACACAAAGTTTTTGATTGGGCCGAACATACAAGAAAAGGGTAACTTGCTAAAGTTCCTCTATGATTTTTTTCGAAACCGGGGCAATTTGTGACTCGTTTTTTTTACCACATTAATTATGAGTCATTTGAAAATGGCGGTTCTGCTTAGCTATAACCGGTAACTTTCCCACTTCCGTAACTGAAGCTGAACCACGTTGCATTCAGCCTGCACGTGGTTTTGGTATTCGTTTTTGACTTTTTTATTCATTCGGGAAGAGATATCATAGGTTTGCAGTACTTCCACGATTTGCGTTATCCTGTATAGGCACCTGTTACCTTTCTGTGCTGCCTGACAAGCACGTTGCCATGAATTCCAAGAGAAATCGTGAGATATTTCTTGTTGAAGGTTATTTTATATGGATATCCACAGTATAATATTCGTTTTTCAGTTATTGCATCATTTCAGCATGGTTTTGTTTATGGATGAAGCCGATGCATTTCTTCGGAAACGAGCGACCGAACAAATAAGTGAAGATATGCGTGCCACGCTGAATGCATTCCTTTACAGAACTGGTGAACAGTCTAGAAAGTAACTTTTTTTTTAAAATTTTTCTTGTGAAATTTTCCCTTCACTAACACAGTAATAACACAGATTGTCGCTGAAATATGTCGTAAAAAAATTTTCGTTTTAGATTCATGTTGGTTGTGGCATCAAATCAACCGGAACAGTTTGACTGGGCAGTAAATGATCGTTTGGATGAGTTGGTCGAATTTAATTTACCTGGTACGAATTCTCGTTTTTCTGGGCCAAAAAAAAAAACAAAAAAAAATTATGCATTTTTTAATTAGACATTTGTGAAAATAAAGAAGAACATCCTAAAAATAAAGCTGGATTTATTATACCAGTTTTTATTCAGAGCAAAGCCAAAACGCCACCCGATATTTAATCTTATATAAAGGTGTAAACATCTCAAAGTAGACGGTCTTGTATTATTCGTAAAGTTTAATTGATTTTTTTGCGCGGCTCATTTGGAATATTGAATGACGGCTTTGCAGGTCTCATGGAGCGAGAACGCATCATACTACAGTATTTTGATAAATACATTGCTGCTCCGGCAACTTCTGGTTCCAGAAAAGCACGGTTGAAAGTGGGAGATTTCGACTGGGTCAAAAAGTGCAGTGTGATTGCAGAAAAGACAGATGGAATGAGTGGTCGGCAGCTTTCGAAGCTTGTCATTGGGTGGCAGGTTGGTTTTCCTATTAATTCCTTATGTTCTTCTCTGTTTAGCGGTCAGTCATTTGAATTTTTTACTTATTATCTATTAAATATGTATTTCATTATTGAATGCTTTAAATACTTACTTTTTAAGTGATGTGAAGATAAGCATCAAAACATTTAATAGTAAAGTTGTGCATCAAAAACAAAGCCTCCAAATGTATAACTGACAAAATATTCGTTCGAAAATTAAAATAATAGCAAGTTACACAGTGAAATTTTACAACTATTCAGGCAGCAGCTTATGCCTCGATGGATGGTGTGCTTACATCGGAAATGATTGATCGATGCACAGATGAAATGGTCGAGCAGCATAAGCGAAAAATACTATGGCTTGACCAGGAACAGCTAGCCGTACGACAGTTTGGACACAAAGTAATGCATAGTCGTCGAGCTGAACGCTACTTATTCCAATTTTCTTATTTTTTTTTTTTTTTTTTTAAGCAATAGACTAGAAAGGGGAATTTAGGAGCTGAGCGGGGGGGAGGGAGGGGAAGAAAAGGGAGGAAGCGGGACTAACTGTGATAATAATTTTGTAATAATTGACTGGATTGTTGTCTTTCAGGTACCAAAAGAAGCATCGGTAGATAAGGCTGGGAAAGAAAGCCCAGTGTGATTATTTTCATGAGCTAGCATTTCTCTGTGTGTGCGTGCTCAGCGTGATACTATCTCACTCGCTCATTCGATGCCGGTTTTGCTTGCTTGTTTTCTGTTGTTGCACATGTCCCTATTTGGGGAAATTACTTCTAACGCATTTGAATAGACGGCTGACTGTTTTTTAGTCTAGAAAATCGAAATAAATTTGCGCCAATAAATTACCACTTATTTTTATGGCAAAAAAAAACGTTGTTTTTAGACGTGTAAGTCAACGAAATCTTTATGGTATTTCAATCCTGCATGCATGCCCATTTTTCGCAGTAAAGCGCTAGAAGTCCAGGAGTTGTGATCAGTTAATGTTTTGTTAATTTTAAAAATACTAATTAAAATAAAAAAGATCTTACACTTTGAAACTTTCGACCAGCCATTATTTCATCGTCACATTCCTCTTCACCACCGATACAACTACTGGTCTAGTGTATGTTTCGGCCTCTCTCGTCCACGTTGTTTCATGGTGACGTTCGATTCCCATCTTCGCATCGTATTGGCTTGCGTTCATTTATCATGATATCAGCGTTCTAGCTTCTCAAATCCCCAAGTTATGAACTTTTGCAAGAAAAATTTGGCAGGCCATTACGCGCTTGCCATGCTCTCTGGGAGGACGGGGTTCACTACCTTAACATCTGCTTGGACGGGGAACATCATACTATGATTTCAGCGTTCTAGCTTCTCAGGTCCCCGAGGTATGAACTTTTTAAAAAAAAATTTGGCAGGCCATTACGCGCTTGCCATGCTCTCTGGGGGGACAGGGTTCATTCCCTTAACATCTGCTTGGACGGGGAACATCATAGTATGATTTCAGCGTTCTAGCTTCTCAGATTCCCGAGTTATGAACTTTTGCAAGAAAAATTTGGCAGGCCATTACGCGCTTACCACGCTTGCTTGGAGGACGGGCTTCAGTGCATTAATACCTACTTAGACGGGGAACATCATGTCATGATTTCAGCGCCCTAGCTTCCCAGATCCCCGAGTTTGGAGGTTTGCCAAGAAAGATTTGGCAGGCCATTACGCGCTTACCACGCTTTCCCGGAGGACGCGCTTCAGTGCATTAACG